GAGGAAGAGGGAGAGAGGGAGGGAGGGAAGAGGGAGGGAGGTGTGAAGTTGGGAGGGGACAGTGGAGAAAATCTGGAAGGAAGCTGAAGGGCGGAATATATAGAATCAAAATATACAAGTATGAAATTCTCGATAAAATTTACATTTTGTGGGGCTGGAGAGATGGCTCAGTGGTTAAGAGCACTGACTGCTCTTCCAGAGGACCCGGGTTCAATTCCCAGCACCCACATGGCAGCTCACAACTGTCTGAAGATCCAGTTGCAGGGGATCTGACACGTTCACACCAATGCACATAAAATAAAAAAAAAAAAAAAGTAAAAAAAAAAAAATTTACATTTTGTTTTTTGAGACCAGGTTTCTTTGTGTAGCCCTGACTGTCCTGGAACTCACTCTGTAGTGTCCGATTCCACAAGGTTAAGCACATTTTACTTTCCAGTAAAAAATTCTCTAAGAAAGCCAGGCACATGGTGCACGCCTGCAATCCTAGCACCTAGAAGGTGGAGGCAGAGGATGGGAGCTCAAGGCTACACAGAGGATTTAAGGCCACCCTGGGCTGCATAAGACACTTCTAGAAATTCTGCCACAGCACAGCTGGTTCCCAGCATGGCACTCAGGAAGAGCTCTGGGTTATTTTCCCAGTCATAAAATCCTTAGATAAGGAGCACTGGGGGATTTTTGTTGTTAGGTGGCCTAAGCTGGTCTCCCATTGATTCATTCTCCTGCCTCTGCATCCTGAGTGCTGACTACAGTTATGTGCCACCATGCTCGGCATAAGATACTTCTATGTTTTGTTTTGTTTTTTTGAGGCAGGATTTCTTTGAGTAGCTCTGACTGTCCTGGAACTCACTCTGTAGACTAGGCTGGCCTCGAACTCACAGAGATCCACCTGCCTCTGCCTTCCAAGTGTTGGGGTCAAAGGCTTGTGCCACCTCACCCAGCTGGTGTTGATACTTTTGCCTGTCCTGTTCTTATTGACTTTTCCCTTTAAATTATTTATTTGTGTATATGTCTGAGTACGGAGACTAGAGTTGGCTCTTACTTTCTACATGTGGGTCCCAGGACTGAACTTGGGTTATGGTGGCAAGCGCATTTATCCACTGAACCATCTGACCAACTCTCCTTTGGAGTGAGTCTTGCTCTCTATCCCCGGCTGACCTGAAATTCATGATGTAGCCTGAGCTGGCCTGAAACTCCCAGCATTTTCCTGCCTTAGCCTCCTGAGGCTCCTTTAGGAGTTCAGGCTTGTCTCAAATTTCTGTGCTCTCATGGTCCTCCTGTCTCAGCTCACTGAGTAGCTGAGAACAATCCCACTTTGCTTGGCACTGACCTAGTGTTACTCAGAAAAACAAAATAATCACTAAGAAAGCATGAACAACAACCACTACTCAAGTAAACAGAACCCCATGCTGAGTTGGGGACAGTGACTGAGCCCGACAGGCAGCAGATCTGATGTGTCTAGCAATGCCTGGCCAGCAAAGATAAGCTTTTCGGGGGGGGGGGGGCACTAGTAGTATGAAGCACAGACTGCCTGCCACACACCACAGGCTGAGCCAAAGATAAGCTAGTGTTATGTACACGGTCTTGAGAGCAACCCAGCGACACCTCAAGTTTCACAAAATACAGTACTGTTTCAGTAGAAAACCTATCCCAGGATTGGTTTCCATCTGCTGGGGAGGTTGTGGGAAGTTTATCATGAAGTCTTTACAAGAAAAACTTCATCATCTTGTCATAACATCAGACGAGGAAACTTCACTTCCTTGGGCACAACAGGGATTCATTAAGAGTTAGTTATGGAGGCTCCAAGTACCTGCTCAGCACGGGGACAAGATGTGACAATAATGCACATGGTTTTCACTACTGCTCTCTCAACTTACTTAGAAAAAGTCCGTGAGACTTTCTCTGAGTGACAATAGACGGTGTGGAAGAGCCAGGAGAAGCTGAGGCAGAGCACTGCGCCGAGGAAGAACATCCCAAACACCACCTTCTCCTGCAGGGGAGCCATGAAGTACATATTTGGTCTGAGCATGGTCAAGATTCCCAAAAAGAGGAACAGCACGAAACCTGCACAAGGGAAAAAGGAAAAACAAACCCGTGAGGAAAAGTGGAACGCAGCAGCATGGCAGCTGATGTGTCTGTCAGTAAACAGGAGCATCAGCCTCGAGAGCTGCCATCAGGACAAACACAGCTCATTTTTATTTTCATATTTTTGGTTTTTTGAGACAAGGTTTCTCTGTGTAACCGTGGATATCCTCAAACTCAGAGATCCACCTGCCTCTGTCTCTCGAGTGCTGGGATTAAAGATGTGGGCCACCACCACCTGGCAAGACATTTTATCTTTGAGACAGAGTCTTGTGTAACCGTGGCCGGCCTCCAACTCCTTATGTAGCTAAGGATGCTCTTTCTCATCTTCCTGTCTCCAACTCCTAGTATTGGGATTACTGGCATGTACCACCATGCCCAATGTACTTGGTGCTAGGAATCAAACCCAGGGCTTTTTGAGGCCAGGCATACCATCAGCTAGCATACGTTCTCAAGTCACGAAAATACCATTCTGTGAGATGTTGGCATTTTGTTTTTACAGTGGCAAGTTAGAAAAGAGGAGTTCTCACCACAAGAACGTTCTACCAGGAATCCAATAGAACATACAGTATCATTTTCTCCTGTTTTGGCCCTTCTACCCTGTTGTAAAGATCAGCAATCAAATGTCAATTAAGGTCAATGGTAATTTAAAGGCAAGGCTCCTGATATCAATTATTCAGAGAAACTTTATTCTCTCCTCATGGACAAACACTACAGAATTCCTTCGCACGTAATACTTTTTTAGTTGTTTCTTTGTTTTTGAGACAGGGTGTAGTGGTTTGGAAGAAAATGGCCCCACTGGCTCTCAAGGAATGACACTATTAGGCTGTGTGGCCTTGTTGGCGGAGTCTCAGATGCTCAAGCCAGGCCCAGTCATGCTCACAATCTCTTCCTGCTGCCTGTCTACCCAGATGTAGAACTTTCGGCTCCTTCGCCAGCATCATATCTGCCTGTTTGCTACCATGCTTCCCACTATGATGACAATGGATTAAACCTCTATACTGTAAGCCAGTTCCAATTATATGTTTCCTTTTATAAGAGTTGCTGCAGCCAGGCGGTGGTGGCGCACGCCTTTAATCCTAGCACTCAGGAGGCAGAGGCAGGCGGATCTCTGTGAGTTCGAGGCCAGCCTGGTCTACAAGAGGTAGTTCCAGGACAGGAACCAAAAAGCTGCGGAGAAACCCTGTCTTGAAAATCAAAAAAAAAAAAAAAAAAAAAAAAAAAAAAAAAAAAAAAAGAGTTGCTGCAGTCATGCTTTCTGCTCATAGCAATAGAAACCCCAACTAAGACACACATCTGTAATCCAGCACTTTAGTTTCTGTGAGTTTGAGTCCAGCCTGATTTACATAGGGGTTTTAGGCTGACCAGAGTCACATGGTGAGACTATGTGTCTTAGTTATGGTTTCTATTGCTGTGAAGATACACCACGATCACAGCAACTCTTATAAAGCAAAGGTTTAATTGGGTGGTTTACAGTTCAAAAGTTCAGCCTATTATCACCATGGTAGTAAGCATAGCAGCACACAGGCAGACATGGCGCTGGAGAAGGACCTGAAAGTTCTACATCTGGATAGGCAAGAAGAGAATGTGACAAAGGGCCTTGCTTGAGCATCTAAGACCTCTAAGCCCACCCCAGGGACATACTTCCTCCAACAAAACCACACCTACTCCAAAAAGGCCCACCTCCTAACAGTGCCACTTCCTGGGAGTCTGTGGGGCCATTTTCTAAACCACTACAGTGTACACCACCACCAATATAAGACTAGAGTGCTTTCTGAGAATGTTGCTCAGTGGTACAGCACTTGTCAATAAAAACTGGATTTTTTTTCCCTCATCTAAATCACTCACCAAGCAGATGGGTCCAGATGTTGCCAGTTTCTGTGTGGATGCGGAAGATGCTCTTGAAGCAAGCCCGAAAGGAGGGCATAGGTGGTCTGTGGCCGTGTAACAGGTAGTCATTGTCTTTCAGCCAGTCGGGAAGCACATCATACGGGATGACTCTCCAGCGCCCCTCCCAGACCTGTAACACACACAGCACCTTTAGATGGGCCATAGAGAAGGCTGGGCTTTCTGAGAATACCACACTGCAGAAGAACACGTCTAGGAGGCTGTCACTCAGGCTTCCGATGGTCCCATGTCACAATAAAATAAGCCTGGACTTGGAGATCCCGAAGATGGACAAAACACTACTAGCAGGGTACTGATTCATATTTTGACCAGTTTATGGTGAACCCCCTTTAGGCCTCTTGAATTTTCAAAATTATTATAATGGGAGAAAACAAAGAAACTATAGACATGGTTTTCATAAACACAAATCCTCCCTCTGATGTTCTCCCAGAGAGTAGTCCCTTGGTCTCCTGCTCCTCTGTCCCCATTTATATTCTAAGTTCTTACAGGCTAATACTACATCCTGTAAAGCAGGAATTCTTTTGTTTGTTTGTTTTTTGAGACAGGGTTTCTCTGTAGCTTTGGAGCCTGTCCTGGAACTAGCTCTTGTAGACCAGACTGGCCTTGAACCCACAGAGATCTGTCAAAGCAGGAATTCTTTCTTCTTTCTTTTAATAATATATTTAATTTGTATGTATGTATGAGGGCATACACGTTCAAGAGTGTACATGTGAAGATCAGAGGACAACTTGTGGCACTGAACTAAGGTCATCAAGCAAATGTCCTTCAGCCCAGATAAGCTTGCCAGTTAGAACCATCCCAGACAAGTCTGATGCCCGCTTCCCTTCCCAGCTCTAGGTTGCACCTTATATACGAACTCCTCCATCTTCTCCATGGCATGGTGGGCTTGCAGAGGAAGCGTTAGTACCCGCACCTCCTCCTCCTCTTCCTGAGGCACTGGGCATGTCTGTTCTTCTTCAGCCTAAGGACGACAAACACACAATCTAGACATCGTCTCTGAACCTAAACCATTTCTGAGGAGGTCCAGAGCAGCTTAAACTCACAGCATTCCACCCAGCCTCTTCATAAAGCCAAGGCTTCCTCTCCCAAACATGACACTGCCTGAGACTCTTACTTCGTCAATACTAGAGTGTAAGCTCTATCTGGCACAGACAGAGACTGGCCTTGGAAGGACACAGGCTTAGTGCACTAGCCCTAGATTGTATTCATCTTAATTTAATCTCATTACTTAAATATTATTTCAGGTACATGTTGCCTTAGATATATCTGTTCTCTTAAAATATATTTTTTTATTTTAGTGTGTGTGTATGTGCACATGTCAAGGCATACAGAACTCAAGACAACTGAGGGAGTTGATTCTTTCCTTCTGCCATTTACGTTCCAGGGGTCAAACGATCAAACTCAGTTCATCAGGCTTAGGAACAAGCACCTTTACAGAGCCATCTTCCAGCCCCCATTCTCTCAGAGGACAAGTGGTCCACAACTTTCCCTAATTTCCCAAATAGTCTTATCTTCCAATCTACTAATTATCTATCTATCTATCTATCTATCTATCTATCTATCTATCTATCTTTCCTTCCTTCCTTCCTTCCTTCCTTCCTTCCTTCCTTCCTTCCTTCCTTCCTTCCTTCCTTCCTCCTTCTCTCTCTCTCTCTCTCTGATAGGGTTTCTTTCACTATGTAGTCCTGGCTGGCTTGGAACTCATTATATAGGCCAGGCTGGCCCCTCAACCCAGGATGATCCACCTGCCTTTGCTCCTAAGAGCTGGGATTGAAAGTGTACACAATCATGCTCAGCTCCAGTCCACTGACTTTCAAAACAAAACAAAAAAAATGCCTTAGTGATTACGTTGACAATCTTATTTGTTGCTCTCCGATCACTTACTCTGGCTTACACTTGTTGCTCTCATGACAACTGTGGCCAACTGTGATGGCATATACTTTGAATCCCAGAACAGGGAGGGGGATCACTGTGGTTTGGAGGCCAGTCTAGTACACAAGGTAAATCAGTAAGCTCCAAGCCAGTAAGAGCTACATAAAACAACAACAACAAAACCAATAAAATAAAAAGGGGAAATGGCTCAGTAGTTAAGAAAACGTAATTGCTCTTCCAGAGGACTGGAGTGCAGTTCCCAGAATGGCAGCTCACAAGTCCTGTAACTCCAGTTCTAGAGGATCTGATACCCTCTTCAAGCCCCCAGATTCTTGCATGCATGTGGTGTGTGTACAACACACCCACCCACATAAAATACATATTTTCTTAAAAAGTCAAAGTGTCAACCATTTTGAACCCAAAGTAACTCCCAGGCATATGGGGCCTCTGATCTGGTCCACTCATTCCTGGGCCAGCCAAGTGCACCCAACACAGCAAACTTTACTTACTTACTTATTTAAGGCAGGGTCTATGTAGCCCAAGCTGTCCTGGAACTCAATATGTAGACCAGGCTGTCCTGGAGCTCACAAAGATTGTCCATCTCTGCCTTCTAAGTGCTGGGATTAAAGGATTAAAGGGATGAGCCATACACCCTCACAAGCACAGCAATTTTTGTTGCTGAGGCTATATTTGAGAAAAGGTCTATATAGCCCAGGCTAGGCTCAATTTGCAATCCACCTGCCTCAGTCTACCAAATTTTGCAATTACCAGCATATGTTACCATGCCTGGCTCCCAGGATAGTACCTGCCTTTTTTTTTTTTTTTTAAATCCCACCAGTACTCAGGAGGCAGACGCAGGCAGACAAGACAGAACAAGTTTCAGGACAACCAGGGACACAGAGAAACCCTGTCTCAAAAACAACAACAACAACAAAGGAGTGAAAAAGGGAGAGGGAGACACTGGTGGGGTCTGGCTGCTCACCCTCTGGGATGTCCTCACTTTCCCTGTGTGAAGACCCTAATCCCTCTTAGATTCTACTGTGCAGATTACAGCCTGCTCACCCCAACATCCATTTTCCTCTTCTCCTAAGGAAGAAAGTCCCTAGGTTAAAGGGTGGCGATCCCCCTAAGACACGTCCCAGCCCTCCCATGAAGAACATGACTGAGGTCTGCCTGGAGGGCCACAAGGTCTTTCTCCTTATTCTTTTTTTTTCTTTCAGGTTTGCTTTTTGTGACAGGGTTTCTCTACGTAGCTAGCCCTGGCTGTCCTGGAACTCACTTTGTAGATCAGGCTGGCCTCTAACTCACAGAGATCCCATTTGCCTCCGCCCCCTCTCCCCCAGTGCTGGGATTAAAGGCGTGTGCCACCACCGCCCAGCTCCTTACTCATTTAAAGAGGAAGGAGTAGAGCCATTCCTCTCACTCCCCTTTCCTCCTTCATGATGCAGGAATGTTCATGTGAAGGGAGACTCTAAGAATTAGGACCGATCTGGCAGTGGTGGCGCACGCCTTTAACCCCAGCACTTGGACAACAGAGGCAGGAGGATCTCTGTGAGATCAAGGTCAGTTTGGTCTATAGAGCAAGTTCCAGGACTAGGAAGAGGAGAGGGATGTGATGGGGAGTGTTCCCATCAGCTCTGGACTGGTTACTTCCAGGATCCTTCTACCCGAAAAAGTTCCACTAGTCAAGCTTTACTCATGTTCACTTAGTGATTATTTTATTTCAGTTCTGCTGGACATTGGGTTTACAAAGGTACAGGGTGCTCTTTTGGGAAATTAACTCCCCAAAGTTCACAGTGAAAAAAATAAAAATATCTATAAGTGAGCACAACAAGGCTTGCATGGAGCTATTCCCAAGGTGCTGTGGTTACTGTGGAAGTAAGGTGAGATCTTAAACGATAGACTGATGAGGTTCAAGAGGGCGCTGGGCAAGGCAACAACTCTGGAAGCAGCCTACCTTTGCTGGGCTCGTGGTTGCCCGCTTGCCCTTCTCCTCCAGCAGGGGTCCCAGTTCAGCCAGTTCCACCGTGTCAGTTTCTCTGTTACCAGAAGGAGCCCCATTGCCCTGTGCCACCGCAGGCCCTTTGTGGGAAGACATCTGGCTGGTACCTCAATACCCTGCAGCTTCAGCTTGAGGAGAGGTTTGGGTCTCTCAGCCCCAGGGGGCAGAGATCTTCCTGTGATGGTAGACACTGCAAACACAAACATGAGGGGTGTTGGCAGCATATTTCTGTAATTAATTCTACACTGAATATGACATAGCTAATCAGCGTAGCTACACTAATTGTAAGGCTAGCTCACTATTTAAATGAAATCTGCTGTCTGCTTTAGAATATTATGCTTCACCAAAAACAGTAATCTCAGATCTACACATATATAAAATCTCATAAGACATTTGTAATCTCATTATATACATATTAAAAAATTTAACACCTAGTTTTCTTCCCTTCACAGGTTTTATTGTTACTATACCAAACTCTCACCAACACAAAATGGGTACCCACCCTGAAAAGGCTCTCCCACAGAAATGGCGTGCATTTAAAGAGAAAAGAAATGCCTACCATTGCTCAAATTCTTTCTCCCCATGAAAGGCCTAGATGTGAAATCAACAACAAAAATAGAGATTTGCCGTAGACTATACCCGTTACTGTCTAACTGGTTGTTTCATTGCAATGTACTCAATAAATCCATTTTCTTCTTTTGGGGGTGGGGGGTTTGATATCAGCCTCACTGTGTAGCTCCAGTTAACCTGGAACTTGATATGTAAACCAGGCCAGTTTCAAACACAGAGATCCACCTACCCTTGCCTCTGGAGTGCTGAGATTAAAGGTGTCTGCCACCATGCCTAGCTTTTTTTCTCTTTTATGTGAAATACACATCTGGCTACAATTATTAAAAGCTCACACAGGTTTGGTAATGGATTAAATGCCAAGGGAACTCCTTTGGCCTTTATCTACATACACCTGCACAAGTGTGCCTTGCGTGGCTGTACTCAGGATATGCTCATTGGTTGATTCTTCTGCAAAATCTACTAATGTTTTGAAGGTTACAGTCGGGTTCCAGGCTCTAATAAAAAGCTTTCGTCACACTTCTCTAACAGCAAACAATGACTTACCTGGAAGCAGGAAGCCGAAGACAGGAGGCACCCCAAGTTCACCCTCTGCCACACACATACCTAATCACCAGCTCTGCAAGAGCGTGTCCCGATCACCAGAGCCCATAAACTTAAGCCCCACTCAAATGACTTTTTTTATAAATTAGATACAGCATTCAAGATCATTTAAGGAAACCAGAACTCAGTCTTCCCAGAAAACTCTCACACATCCTAGGATTTTCTGCACTGGACTTGCAGTGTTTTCAAATTAGGCTTCAGGGAGATATAAATGATATAAAAACGGAAAGGAATGTTTCCAAAGATTCCTACTATGTTGTAAATTACGAAGCCTTCCTTCTTCCAGAGACAAGGGCCCTTGTTACTCATAGCAACAGCCCTAGTCAGAATAATAATACAGGACAATGCAGAGAAAACAGAGTGGGTTGTATGATGAGAGAGGAATTTAAACTTAAGAGCCTGACTCTTTCATGTTGAGACATAAACATGACTATTCCCCAAAGACACACTGCTTCACCCATGGCAGCTCACTATATAAACAAACATCTTTGGCATCTGTATTAGTTTTTACCCAAGAGTAATCTCAGCTCCCTCCCAGAGATTATAATTAGGTATATGTAGGGTATGGTAATTCTTAGGTATCAACAACTAGATTAAGAAGAAGCATCCAGATAGTTGGCAAAGCATTCTTTGGGGTGCTGGGTTTCAGAAAGACACTGCCATTGGATTTAGTGACCCAAGAAAGGAAGATCTGCTCTCACCCTTGGAAGGTAACATCATCCAACTGGCTGCCCCCAAGCAGAACAAAACAGAAGAAAAGTGACCTTCTGAAGGGGTATGGTGCCTTTAATTCAGCACTCAGGAGGCAGAGGCAGGGGCAGGAGGATCTGGGTGAATTCAAGACCAGCCTGGTCTACATAGAGTTCCAGGCCAGCCAGAGTTACACAGTTACACTCTCTTAGATAAATAAATAAACAAATAAATTTAAAGTGTTCTCTTTTAAGTGATGGAAGCTTCCTGTAGGCAGTCAGAACTCTAGGCTGGCCTTTGGACTCTGGGACAAGCAGCCTCGGCCTCCAGCATTCAGCCTTCATTTGGTAATCACACCACTGCATTCCCTGGTTCTCTAGCTTGCAGATGGTCTATTTGGAGAGTTAACCTCCACGCTCAAATGTCTGTACCTACCTACCTGCCTGCGTGCTTCCTATTGGTTCTGGAGATGTCTGACTAATATTTTAATCTGCCCTCAGGTGAAGGCATCCTCCGAACTCATGTATCATCCTATGCTTAACACACACGCAAAGCTGAAAGAGTCAAATCTAGTTACAGTAAGACACAAACAATAACTCACTATATAGCACACCTTTATGTCAACACAGCCAGTTCCTCCCCCTTAAAGTGTGCAAGATTGTGACAACACATTTGCCAACATACACACAATCGCAGTCAACACTTGAGCTCAAGAGGAACAGGAAACTGGAGGCCCCTGGAAACCTCAGTGGATAAGCAACTCACATGAAAAGAAACATTGGGAAATCCTAACTGCTGACCTCAAAATATACTTCTTCAAAGGGAAGTCCTACGGAATAAACAGTTCTCAGAGATCAACTCATAACACTGAGTAGCAAACAACAAACAGCTTCGGTCATCTTTGAGAAGTCTGAAAAGCAGGGCACACGAAACTACCAGTTACAGCAGGCAACCAGGGAAGAAACTAAAACAAAAGCGCCCACATTATGGAACACAATAATAATACATGGGTCCTAAAATGATCCAGTTTTTGTCTGAATCTGTATTTCAAAATGAATGAAGGGGGTACAATACAGCCAACCAACATGTGCTTTACCATCATATCACTGGTCAAGGTTTGTGCCTTTTTTCTCTATTGTGGGGCTGGCTGGCTTCCTCTCATCCTCTTCCCCAGAGTAAGCCTTCTCATTCACTGAATACTTAACAAACTTATTTAGTAGGACAAGGTCCTGTATAAAACAGAAAATTGAACAGGTTCTATCACTGTCTTTGGTATAATCAGATGGCTTAAGTTAACTTGTGACATGTCCACATTAAGTGACATGATCTCACTGCTCAAGAACAATGGTGACACACTTAATTCAGTTGAGTGCTGTTTAAATCTTCCCAAGAGGCACAAGGATAATACAAACTTTAAGTTGTACAGTAAAAGTCCAAAGATCAGAAACAGAATCCAACTTGGTGGTTTTACTAGTTTCTTTAATTGACCATAAAAAGTTTTGTGACTTCAAATCCTTTGGACAAAATGTTTATCTTTTCGTTTCAAATCACTCGATTCTACTGATCCTGTCCAGCTCCTCTGTCTCTAGCCCCTAGCCCCTCCCATCTTCTTAGTCTTGAAACCTGACAGCCATCCCAGTGAGCTCACAATGAAGCCCTCAGCCCAACTCATTATACAAAATATATCATCATGCATTAATGTACATACAATGGAGGTCAATGGAGATCAAGTCAGCATAGTGAGAAAAGTCCATTGTCCAGTTTGGTCTTCTAAACTGTAGCAACACAGAGACAGGAAAGGAAGAGAGGGAGCTGAGGTCTGGCAAGAAAAGAGAGCAGTAACACTAGGCCTTGAAAATAACATTGCTGTATGGTGGACCAGTCACCAACAACAGGGAATTAGAAGCGTCTTAGTCTGTTAATTTAAATTCAACACAACCCCCTAAGGTGCTAAGACTGATTCCAGGAGACTTAGGAGAACCAAGATGCAGTTCAACTATCTGTCTGCACTCTCTGTCCTTTTGCATTTTAGACGAAACACCTTTCCTCTCAAATGGGCCACACCCAACACAGCAAATTATAATTGAGCCAAACTCAAGAGTGCATTTTTGTTGGGATTTCTTCAACTCAAGCTAATAAACTTTACCACTAAGCTTCCCAACTGGATAAACGTAAGCTATTATAGAATAAAGCTGTGGAGGAGAGGCATTTGTGCTCCTACGAACAGGATAATCCTGCACCAAACTTGGGAGAAAAAGTTGAGTTTTAATCACCGGCCAATTAGCTGGAGAGTTTCCCTTAGAGATTTGACGATAATTCTCTGAAGGCAACTTCCAAGTTTTCTAAGCTATGACACACACTCCCCCTGCAGCCAAAGGCTCAGGGGGTCCAGGAGGTTTGACCTAAGGTTCTAGAAGACCAGCCTAGCAGTCCAGCCAGAGACCCATTTCTCCTCTAAGTCGCTTTTGTTAGGGAGGTTAGTATCATAGCTCTACTTGACATGAGTCAAGGCGAAGGTCAATGCTTGGCATTACCAACCACAGTAATGGGGCCTGCTCTTCATTTGATGCCAAGTGTCACTGACTCAGAATCCGAAGGGGAAGCAAGTCACCATCTAACTTCCTCTGTAGCTCTGCCAGTTAAAGCTACCCCAACGGAAGAAAACAGGTCTTTTAAATCTCAGAGACAGGTAAACTTTCCTAAATCCAGCTCCACCCAAAGGAGGAGGAGGAGGAGGACCAGCTGGGGGATTTTCATGTCACCACCCCAACTCTTTTGAGACAGGGTCTTGATAAGCAATCCTGGCTGGCTTGGGACATCCTATGTAACCTAGAGTCTAGGTCTAGAAACACTGGCAATCCTCCTGCCTCAGCCTCCTAGATGCTGGGATTACTTACAGGTATGTACAAATGCTCGGCCAGCTGCTGTTTTAGAATCAAGCACATTCCAAGTATTTGGTTAATACAGTTGCACAAGATAGCACGCACTCTAACCTGTGCACCCCCAAATTCACTTTAAACAGTGCACCTCTAAAAACCCACTGAAGCACAAGGAAACTGGCTGGCACTTGCTACCACTCATCACCTGGAACTGGTTTGGCTAGAGAGTATCTCAAGATCTCTGCGATTCAAGACAGCTACAAACTTCATAAACATTAGTCACACCCCCAACATTTCTGAGCAGCAAAAATGGGACCAAGTTCAGCATGGTAATCTGATGAGCAGATATGGGACAAAGGGACATTAAGGACAAAATGTAACAAGCTTGATGAGAACCAGCACCAGACAAGAAAAACATCATGTTACTTAATAAAGCTCCTAGATATGAAGATGACACAGCTCCTGGGAGTGACAAGTCGATGGGCGGATAGAGCAGCAGGGCTGTGCCAGAGTTCCAGCCCAGCTTTCCACTCCTCCCTACAGAAGCAGAGAACTACTCACTGGCCTACAGCAAAGGGTAAGTTCCGTCCTGTAGTCTGAGAATATCTCCTGAGCACTCCGGAATGCACAGTTCTGGCAGCAGAGAGAAGGCGAAGCAGAGTAACGAACTTGGAATGGTTGCTGACCGCCTCTGACGAGGAGTTACCGTGGGCTCGGTGGTTAACAGCACTTGTTGCTTTCCAGAGAACCCTGGCTTAATACCCAGCATTCACATGCTGGCTCAGTTCTGAGGGATCCGATTCATCTTCTGTGGGCACCAGGCGTGCACATGGTGCACACACATACATGCAGACCAAACAGTTGTACACATAACATCTTTTAAATTAAAAAAAAAATTAGCCGGGCATAGTAGCACACGCCTATGATCCCAGCATCCAGGAGGCAGAGGCAGGTGGATCTCTTGTGAGTTAGAGGCTGAGGTCAGCCTAATCTACAAAGAGAGTTCCAGGACAGCCAGGGCTGTTACACAGACAAACCCTGTCTCGAACCACCCCTAAAAGAGGGGGGTGTTAATCAAATAATTTTCTAATAGCATCACTATAAAGCTAACAAGTGCTGGAGAAACTAAGAAGCATCACTTTAGTTGAAATGATGAAGAAAGCTTTATAGAAGTAGATAAGATCTGATAGGTACAGATAGTAGCAGGACATTCCAGGAAGGCAGAGTAATCTAAACAAGGACGTGGAGAAGCATGGCACCCAGAGCAGTGAATAATCTATTTTTTCCATCAGGGAGTCTTAGAAAAACAAAACGAGTCACCCCGAAGAGACAGAAGTTAGCCTAACACCCTACTGAAAGTGCCATACTATGTCGACGGGCAGTGGGGGCCAATTAGCTCAAGGCTGCTTCCTAGGATTGTCTCTGACATGCAGCTAGTAGTCACTCATTTACTTCTTCCTCGGGAATCGTGTGATTTCTGGGCTACTGAGAACACAACCTGAGATTCTACTCTGCAAGTAGGAGCAGCTTTGTGAAGAAGGTCCACACCAAAGTCCAATGCTTCACAGATAACACCAGCATTTTAAGACTGCTTTCTCAAAGACCCATCACTAAACAGAACACAGAAACCACTTCTGGAATAAAGAAGTGTAGTGGCTGCAAGCCGGGAACCCTGACATTGCAATCTCTTCAGCGCCATCCTATCCGAATGCCTGCAGCAAAGTGCTGCTGTAACCCCCAGGAACAGCGGATGCACCATCACCGTCTGCCCGGCACTATGAGAAGGCAAAGGCAGTAAACACATCCCAACACCACTCTGGTTAGGAAAAGAATCAGCCATTCCTATCTTTGTTTGATTTACCACGGCACTGCAATTGCTGGCCCGTCTGCTAAATACTCGAGGGAAATAATCTGATTAATATATCAGATCCCAGGGCCTCTTAGTGCTCCGCTGACATCCGAAACTGTGTAAACGGAAATTCGTCCAGCTTCTTCTTCACCCACGTAGCACCAGAAACCGAGGGACAGCCACTTTATTTTCTTAAAAGTACTAGAAGCCCCAAATTCTCAAACAAAAAAACCATCTCTCAACCCTAGATTTCTGAGATGAAATCTGGTTCTTTCCCAACACTCTCAGCATCTGTTTACATTCTAGCTGAGTATTACCTTAGGCCTGTCGACTGTCCATCAACCTCCCCTCCAACTCTATCCAGGAGGGATCCCCGTCACGTTTGACCTGCGGATGGCTGTGGGGCCTTAGGGTTCCTGACCACCCGGGGCCGGTGCTCCCGCACCCAACTCGGCAGGCTCAACTCCGGGGATCCCCAGCAGGGCTGGAACGCGGCCGTCTCCCGCGCGGCTGCAAAGGCAGCACTCCGGGACTGCTGGGCTCCGACCGCGGCGAGCAGCCCCCCGAACGGAGGCGGCGCGCGGTGGGAGGGGCCGGAAATGTTTACCGCGGACTTGACTGAGGGCCGGGCGGTGAGCAGCGATCCAGGGGCGGGCCACTCCCGGGCAGTCCCCTCCAGAGCCTGCGGGGCCCGCGCCCCGCCCACCCGCGGGACACTTACGGCCTGGCTGGCTGCTCTGCTGGGGGCCGCGGGCCCGGGCGCTACATCCCGCGGCGTTGGAGGTGGCCTGCGGCCGAGGGGCGCCCGATCCTCAGCGCCCTGCCCGCGCCGGAAGGGCCGCGCGACCTCACGGCGTCACCTCCGCAGCCGCGTCACCTTCTCGGCGCTACCTCGCCCCTCCGATCCAGGCATTCCTGCGCGTGCCAATCACCCGCGCGCTCCCGCGCACGCCCCGCCTCGCCGCCTTTCTAACCAATAGCTCGCCCGGGCTGTCGCAGCTTGGCCTCACATTGGCCAACCGCAAAAGCTGCTTCTCCGACCACACACACTGGGCGCGTGACGGAAAAGGGAGCCGGGAGAATTAGAGCGGACCCTGGGAAGGAATGCTGAATTTCCCACCCTACTTCCTGGCTTTTCAGCTCGGAACACTTTTTTTTTCTTCCCTCGGTGTTGGGAATTGAATCCCTGAGGAAGCCCTGTACCATTGAACTACATCTCTAGCACCGAAACACTTCATTTTTGCTTTAAGAAAAGATTTAATTCTGCCACCCAGGTTGGGCTTGTACTCGCGGCAATCCTCCTGTCTCAGACTCTCAAATGCTGGGATTACAAACGTGCGCCACCATACACAGCCCCGAAACTCTTCATTTTTATATCCATTTTCCTAATCTCTCCCTTTCTTCCTTCTGTATGTTATTTATGGAATAACTACCATAAATATGGCATTCAGCTGGTTTGAGTTTTGGTTCCTGTTATTTCTCAGAAAGGGAGAAGTTGTTTCAAATAAGCCTAGCTTGACGATTTTCAGCTCCAACCCATGTTCCCATGTGACCCAGAGGGCACACCTGGAAAACAAGATAGGGTGTATTTCTCTGCCTCAAGTAAACAACATAGAATTTAGGGACTGTCCATTTTCCTTCCCTCCAAAGAATGATGCACCTCTAGTACGGTTCTAGATTCTGGGAAAGGTATGGATGCTAGGTGGATGTCCAGGAGAGCGAAGTCGATTTTGTTCTGGTTAAAAGCATGGGCTCCGGGTTCACGTACACCCCGTTTCCTTTCCTAGCCAGCCTTCTCTTTCACTCCGGCTTCCGTAGCGGATCCTTCAATGCACCGCCCTTCCCTCACCATCTTCCAAAAGATCCAAGCAGTTTACAATGCTCAGTTCTAGGTTTGGTTTTGGTGGCGGATAATCCCAAATTCAGTTTCAGGCTCTGCCATCTACTGCCCGGATGTATTTCCTTTAGTAAGTCCTTAATCTTCAACTCACAGGATTAGCATAAGGATTATATTGTGCAATGTAGGCGGAATTCTTAGCATGGCACCTGGTACATGTCTGTTAGAACAAGATGTAAATTCTTCCTCCTCCGGCTCTTTCTCCGCTCCTTCCTATGTGGACCCTATACTTCTGCAGTAGTGTCGATCACTCTGTGTTGAGATGACCTGCCACTTGTCTGTTTTGACTTGGAGGAGTTTGGGGGAGAAAATCTACCACCATCTACTCTTGGTCATAGCTGTAACCTCAGGATACTTTGAGCGCTCACATAATGGGTCCTTAATAGATGTTTGCAGTCATTTCTGCACAAAACAAGGGCTAGGAAGCTTCCATGCAGGAAGCTCTTTGCTGGGCTGCTTCACTAAGATCAGCCATCCTAAGCAAGAATTTCCTTTCCGAAGGTGAGGTAGCTCACAGAACAGTGGTGCGTACATACTGTCTAATCAAGATATATTAGATGGATATCACCAATAGGAATTACTGAAGAAATCTGTTCTCTTGCCACTAGGGTGTGTGAGCAAGTGTGTGTATGTGTGTGTGTGTGTGAATTCTGAGGGTCTCATAAATCTTCTACCAGGAGCCTAAGAGACAGACACCCAGTTCCATGCAGAAAAACAATGTTGCGAGACTGGAAAGATGGCTCAGCCATTAAGATCACTGACTGCTCTCCCAGAGGACCTGGGTTCAATTCCCAGCACCCACAGTTCTCAACTGTCTGTAACTTCAGTTCCACGGGATCTATGCTGTCTTCTAGCATTCTTGGGTACTGCCTGCATGCAGTGCATAGACATGCATATAGGCCAACACCCACACATACACAATAAAATGGAAAAAAACCAACAACAACAACAAAAAAACCAAAATTGACCTTCCTACTGAATCCCAACCGTTGTTTTCTCCCAATGATACTAACAAGGAAGCCACAGTGCTGCCTTAGTCCTGCCTGGGAGAAGTGAGGAGATTGAATCTTGAGTTCTCAAGCATAGAAGGCTATTTAGGACTGATGGGCCTGGGAGAGGCCAACTCTGTCCAGTCACCAAATCTGTTCAGAGCTGGTGATGTCAGGTTACTTTTTAAAGGGGCAGATGTCCCTTCCAAATGGAAAGACAATACTTTGTTTTGTATACTGGGCACTCTGAAGGATAAACAGCGTGAAGGCAGACCCACAGAAAGAGGGGAAGACTGACCAAATTAAAGGACCTCTGGGAAGGCTATCCACACTCTAAAAGTCCCCTCTGTTTTCTCCCCCCACCCCCACCCCCGTCTCTAAGGCCTCCAAGGAGGACTTGGACTCTGGCTTTGCAGAACAGTGGCAGGAATAAGCCCTGGGTCTGGTGGCAGCTCACATTTCCACACACGGCACAACTCCTCAGAAGCTCTGTAAAACACCCAGGAGAGCCTGTGCTGGGAGCTCTTCCCTTCCAGTGTCCTCAGGCATCGGAGACAAAGAGCCCAGACACAATGACTCCTTGAGATCATCAGGGCCTCAGCTCCATTTATTTGAACAGCCAGAGATTCCTTATACAAGCAGCAATCTTAAGTTGTGGGTAACCATTTCACTCGAGCCCAGGCAGGGACTGAGAGATACACATGCAAATATATAGTAAGACCGTATCTCTGAGGGTTAGAATTCTGGGAAATAATTTCATTCCTTCAGTTTCCGTAGGACTATGTCTATAAGCCCACTCAACCTGGACTCGCATAAATAGTAGGTGAAGTGCTGAATATTGAGCAAAATGTCCATTTCCAGTTTCTTTCATCACAGACACTAAGAAGGTGAGCCCATGGTGCTCTCAGGAACTAGCCAGCCTTATGGCAAGTGTGCACGCTCCCTTCTTCCTGGCCCTACAGAAGAGACTGCTCCTTGTGAGCTTCATCTGGACCTTTTATCACATGGAGATTAGGGTAAGGGAGGCTTCCTGGAAGTGACTCAGCCTTAGCTAGAGGAGTGTCATTTCCGCAAGCAGCCAGGTTCCAGGATGAGACGCGAAAGGCTGATGCTCTTAGCAAAGGCACTAGGTCTCATGGCGGTCAAGAACTGACTAGGGACCACTGCACACACGGGGTCAGGGAGGCTTCCGTATGCTCAGTAGGTGAATCGCATCTTTTGGGAATAGCCGAGCTTATCCAAGTTCGGGTGGCAGGCCAGCTGTACCATTGGCGGTGGCCCACAGAGCAGCAGCAGCACATCGTCTGCGGGAGCGGGCAGGTGCTCCTGGATCATGTCAGCCGTCACAAAGCCCTTGCTGTAGGGCCAACCTGGAGTAGAGAGAGAGGAGAACAGATACTTCCGATCCACATCAGCAACAGACTGTGACGCTTCCGGGACAGACCCCTGAGAAGACCCAAAGGGGCTCCTGAGAAGGTCTCAGTTTACAGCAGCAACTATAGCCACATCCCTGCCATTCACCCAAGAAACAGGAGCTTGAAGGAAAGGACCAGGAGATCATTTGTCTGCGCACACAGATTTAGGATTCTGGCAGTGCCGGGATGGTCTGTTTTACTCAAACCAGAACTCACAGAGGGGCAGGGATGTGGCTTGTTTAGATAATAAGGGACTAGCTAGATATTCAGAAATGACAAGATACCTTCTGGAGGATGGTCCAGAGTGAACCAGAGCTTAAAGCGGTTAGGATATTGGGCCTGCAGTTCCTCTAGGTCTTCCCGCAGGATTATGTCCTTTTCAGTCTGAAATGCAAATGGGGAAGAGTCTTTGAAACCTCGGGCCCACATCAAAAAAGTACTTTGCTATGACAACCTTCCATCCAAGAAGGAAAGGGAATACTAAAGGCATGCTCGAGTTCTAGGAAGAGTCAAGGCTTGGCAGTACTTTTAGGTGCTAAGGATCAGGAAGTGACCTTCATTTACACACTACAAAGGGATATTTGACCAAGAAGGTCCAAGTTCCTATGCTCAGCGTGAGACATCTTCATCTTCTCTTCTTTCCCTGGGGGCCAGAGATGAAACTGGCTTAATACTAGGCCCCTTTCTTCTTTCTTTTTTACAGTCGTTATTTTTATTTTATGAGTGTTTTGCCTGCATGTATGTAAGTGCATTGCATTGGCACCCATAGCCCCTGGAGCCCAGGAGAGAGTGTCAGATCCCGTAGGGCTGGAGATAAAGAAAGTTGTAAGCTGCCTAGTGGGAACTGTAAACTCAATCTGCATCCTCATCTTTCTAGTCCTCCTCTTTCTTTATTATTGTGATGGAGGCCCCTGTATTCACAGAAGGGCTTCTGGACAGAGACTAGAATAGGCACCGAGCCAGTTCTCTCTCTCAGCCCTGTCTATCCACACAGCCAACCTTAGAGTCCTGGGACTGAGAAAAGTAAACCAACCTGGTTGGCAAAAAGCAGAAAGCACTGAGTTGGATCTTCAGGGACTTTCAAGATGGCCCGGATCAGCTGCAGCATTGGAGTAATTCCTGCATGAGGATAACCCCACGGTGAGATGTGCCGGCTGGAGAGACGTGTTCTCTCTGCTTTGTCCAGACTTCTTCGCTGACCATCTGTCATCTCAAAGCCTATCGTTTACACCCCCGATGTTTTCCTGCTGTATCTAATCCTCTGACCTCCACCTGCATATTCACCAGGACCTACGTTTCTGGAGCTTCATATTCACACAAGAACACAGTATAAGCTGGGCGGTGGTGGTGCACGCCTTTAATCCCAGCACTTGGGAGGCAGAGGCAGGAGGATCTCTGTGAGTCTGAGGCCAGCCTGGTCTCAGAGTGAGTTCCAGGACAGCTGAAGATACACAGAGAAACCCTGTCTCGAGTCCTTCTAAGTAGTCAGTCTAAGACACCAGCCCTGAAAGTCCCCTGGAGGAAGGAGTACAAGCACTATCGATTCGGCCTGACAGACGGTAGCACATGTCTTTAGTTCCCAGCACTCTGTCTTGTCTCTGTGAGGA